GATGATGATATGTGTGTGATCTGTTCCTATGAGTTCGATAAATTTTCCAAAAATCTCCTGTATTAAATATATTGGAAACATGTTTTATGGCAATGTTTCTGTTTGTCGAATGCTCTGTTGCACTTCTCAATTAATCCATATATGCATTCAAGCAAAAGCTTGTTTGAGAAAAGAAGAACGAGGTCATCATTAACTACTCCCTCTAAACAAGTCATTTATACTCTATCCAGATAATGAGATGAACAAAGCCCTTATCTCACGACCTGAACACCACTGCCGATTTCATTGTGATTATATATTTCGGTCCAGTGGTAAGGGACCTTCTTTCCTACCCTCACCAGCCACTCAGCTAATAATAACCTAACGGCCTCTGGTTTCTCACACGTTGTTCCTCGTTTCTCAACAGGTTCCATCGGAGGCACTCGAAAATCAGCCGTTCACGTTTATCGATAAATTTGCTTCACTGAGTGCTTCGGAAATATGTCTAACATTCTCCGTCCCTGAGCTTGGGAAATTTTATAAGTAGATCATTGATGTGAAGAGGTACAAACTACAAGTTCTGTGAGGCCTACCGTTTGCGGATATCACTGTTGCTCATGCCACATGATCACAACACCGACCGGACGATTGAAAAAAAGCCTGATAATCTAAGGTTTAGAATAAACATACGCCAAAGGATTCTGATATTTGTGCCCTCAGGCTGAATATGCGTTGAAAAAAATATTGTATGGGTCCACCCATGTTGAGATTTGTACGCATCCGATGACATTTGAAAACACCTAAACCACTGGTATTCTGTTTACGGAAGTGTTTAGGCACAATGCAAGTCCAATATCAACCTGACTCTCTGTAATCAGTGACTGCTGATTAGCAAGTCTTACTCTATATTATACGGATTATCTCTTACACAAAGGATGAAAGTAACTTTGTTTTAAAAGTGATTGCGATCATTCACTGGTAATAATGCACACGCAAACGAATGATAGGTGAAAAAATGTTTCAACGAATAAAATGAACCAAATGTTTGCATAGTGGTCGACAAGATGGCACGAAATGGCTATTACGTCCTCGCCGGAATTTGTCAGTAGTGTAGAGTCTTCTTTGTCCAAGAACTCTATTCACGAATTTTCTGAATGGGGGTTGGAAATTACACGAAAGCACAATCGCAGCTGAAATACTTTGAGAATTGCATACCCGTAGATCCGCTTGCCTCCAATCGGCTGGTCACCTAGGACACCACGTTTATCCCGTTCATTTTAGTGTTTGACACGGCAGTAAACAGACATACCACTTAATATATTCACACCAATATACGGCCATTCTCTCACCCTGTATTCCAGCGGCTTAACGGGGAATAACGACGGAACTATCAGCTAGTAAAACAAACACCTCAGAACACCTGAGAATCAAACTTGGTGACTACTGTATGTTGGCGAGCATGCGATCCTGTTTAGCAAAACGGGAGCGTTCTTCAAATCGAAACCTAATTCGATGTGACATTTCTAGTGCACATCTGAGTGTACATCGTAAGTCGCTTCACAATATGTGAACGATTATACCTACCTACAACAAATTAACACCTGGCTCAGTATATCGAGAACAAAAATTTATCTGTATATCGCGGTTCGGTTTTATGTGATCGCGCGAAGATTTCACACGCTGTAAACAATATCGGTGAACGAGACAACCAGTTAAACGAAATGATTATAGCCAGCTAGAAAGAGAAAGAATGTGGACCGTGACAAGACACTTTCTTTCACAATAGTCAAATCAACAAGTTGTTCAGTCGGATCAGTTACGTTGCTAATTAGTAAATCAGAAACAGTGTACTACCACGCTTTATTAACTTATTAGGAGATGGATAGTTGTGTTTATTGTTGGTGGTTGAGTCCGAGCTGGTTCTTCGGTTTTTGTGATCTTAGAACCCAACCTGACAATGACACTAGAACCTGATTTTGAGGCAGCTTCTTTATTATCCTGCTCAAAACAGTGTTTATCCAAATGAAATATTATTCTTCATCAATCCACGTCATCAGGTTTTGATTGATGCATTCCATAACCAAACAATAAGCCATAACGGCTATTGGAATTCATTCTGTTCTTTGACGTCAAGTCAATTCAAGTCAAGTCAAGTAAGTAGTAGCTTATGCACCCGGATGAGTGTGTTTTCAGGAATTACACCATATTTGTGGATTCAAATTTACAAAATCATTGCATAATGAAACTGAAAGCAATGGGGTGTTTTTCAATGAGCAATGTGTGTTTTGCACAGTTCTGTGGAAATTTGCTCCTTGTCACTAAGTAGACGGGCTGGATATGGCAGAACAGAATTACAATAAGCAGAGGTACGAGAGAATAGATGATTAAATATTGAGTGAGTATATGATGTAGATACAGCTTTGAAAATTCGTTCTGTAATGAGTGGTGAATGTCTGAGATTTTTTGGCAGTGAAACTTTTGCATAATTCTAGGTGACTGTCAATGATGGAATTTGAAGTATTGAGTTCCCTTCATCCATTTCATCAAAACAGAAAGAAGACAAATGTCGCGAGATGTTAACATTTCGTTTAATCTTCTCCGTCGCTGACTTAAAAGAAACAGGTACATATATAGCACATGGGATTAATCAATTTTGTTGAACAAACGTGTACAAGCACACAAAGATTACTAAATTTAAAGGGAGAAGATCAACTCCACGGTAAGTGGATTGCTTCTATCAAAAACTTCTGTGCGCACAGGGTCGGGTGATGCAATCAAATAAGCAGTGCTTCACTAATCGCCAAAAATTTAGCATTGCGATTACGTAGTAGTGGTTAGAAAGACAAATTACGGTCAACTGTGTCTTTTTGCCATCAGATGCTTTGCAACACTTCTTGCAATTACTTGGCCATCATTTGTCAGTTGCGTCATCGATTTCCGCAACCTCTTTGGAATATGTTCGGCCATTCTTTGTGACAGCTGACGGTTTGTTCTGCCTATCTATGCGTCACTGCAACTGCAGGTGAACTGGTATACAGTGTGTGAGACGGAGCTGGTTTGCCAGCCATGCTTACGTTTGTCCAAATCGATTCCACGAGTGGAGGCGATGATTCTGAGTTAAGCAGCTGGGAGTGTACGGTCTAGAGCTGAACTCAACTTCTGGCGCACATTATCGTAAATGTGATCACCTTTGAAAGCAAGCTTGATGTAGATGGCCTTTTTATCAACGTTTTGGGATGGGTTACCTTTTGGAATTGGTCTACTGTGAATATCTATAAACCTTTCTGGGTAACCATTGTTTAGCAAGATTCTCCTTGGGAAATCTTCTTTCTTCAGTGTATCTGGAGAACAAATGTTTCTCGCCCAAGGAAATAGGGTTCTCGCAAGCCCACGTTTGTAAGTCATGNATGGGGGGGGGGAAAGCTGGAAAAGTGCAGATATTTACCGCTCCATGTCACTTTTCGGTGGACTGAGCGTTGTAGTGTCCCATTTTTCCGTCTTGTAACTTTTACGTCAAGAAAAGCTAAAGTGTTGATGGTTTCCATTTTACAAACTTGGAACTCCGCTTAGACCAATTTTGTGCATGTAAAACTCATTGTATCACAAGCTCTCCCGATGACCGGTAGACATTCTTCATCCCATTCGTAAGTCTCTCATGTATCACTGTGTGAAAGATTCCTTTGATTTCTCTAATATTTTGAAGAATATTACAATATCCCAGGAGACGATGTATCCGATGAATGTGGATTCACATTTTACTATTGTACCACTTTATGAAACAGTTAATTTTTTTATGCGATTATATTTCTTCAAACAATTTTCAACTTAATATTCCTTTTAAATACTTAAGAGAACTTATTCTTATATGTACGGAAAATATTCGTTTTGAGTTTGAAGGAGCCGCATATAAACAGATCGATGGCGTGGCAATGGGCAGTCCACTGGGGCCCATTTTGGCAGACGTTTTTCTAGGCATGATTGAGAAAAAGCTAGGTGATGATCTTTCTATGTCCACCCTGTACAAACGTTACGTGGGCCAAATTTTCATTCTTACAGATTCTGAAAATTTTAATACACTTTTACAACAGTTTAACCTAGTCCATCCACATCTATCTGTATGTCACAAAACGGATATGTGTTACAAAGGTCTCGTCAGTAAATAAATGTCTTTTTTCACCATAATACTGGGATGCTTTATTCGGGCTAAGAGAATGAAAATAAGTTTTGAGTGTTACAGTGGACTGTGGGCGTGTGTATGTGTGTCATGAGCCGAAATCCGCGTGGGCTCTCAGGGACACGGAGTGTTAGTTTGGAATGAAATTTCCAGCCTTTTACATTTTGAATAATACGCAGAATTCAAACCTACAGGTGACTGTTTGTGATCGGTGAATGTGACTTGCACAATATTTTGCATAAGCTTATACGTCTCTCACCATGATCTCAGTCACTAATAACAAAATCAGTCATTTGTGATTAGTGTGGCTCTTGTTTACTAGGTGAATATCTTCATCAGGTGTTTTTCTTCATACAACGAGAAGTACCTTATCCAAGCTGAGCAGATTATCATGGAATGTCGGAAGCCTGATATCCAATGATGGTGATGGTGGTGGTAGTGGTAGTGGTGGTTGATGAAAAGCGAAAACTACTGATCGATTCTATCCTCTCTTTACTATTTTGATCCAAACAAATTAAGACATTTAGACAGAGTTCGAGAGAGCAACTTTGGGCTGCAAAACCCCACGTACAACCTTGTACGTCAATCAGCATTAAACTCTATAATGATTCTTCCGGCTCTCAAAAATGAAAACCAACTTTAACTCTTCTGAATATCCGATCGGTCTTCAAAGGTTTACGGAAAAATCTCAAATTCCTTATTTACGCTGTTTTTTTATCAACAGAAGCCCGCATGACCTATTTAGAGAACAGAGGTGTGTGTGTTTAGTTACCACAGATATGTCCCAATAGTTAGTTTAAAAAGTGTACCATCAACAGGACCAATTAAGAACGGTGATTCAGCTTACTTTTGAACGAAGTGAATCTTTCAGAAGACAAGTGACTCCGTTTAACCGATTCGAGCACGGACGTAAATCTGAATCGCCCAATCGAGGCGGGACCAATTTCGCATTCGGATAGGCTGCTTCCGATTTTTTATAGAGAAAGTGACGAAAAATCTCGTGCAATGTGAGCATTTGTTTGACTCCGGTGAACAAGGTGGGCCATAGTGCTCTCAGCTCACCCCGTGTAATCTCCGGTTCAATGCGCAAACTGAGAGTGAGTGGGAAGAGGAGAGGAGAAATGGACGCCCGGGAAGAGGGTGACATGAAGCGTAGATCAAAGGATATTTATTGCTGAATTCCGTAAAACAAACAGACAAACACTGCACATTGAGTTGTTCAATACGAGTGAACGTACGGGTACACACAAGCAAGGGTTGCTAAAATTCGAAGCCTAAGATCATCTCCACTGCAAGTGAATTGATTGCATAAATAACTTTCGGGGCACAAAAGTGGATGATGTAATATGATTAATAAGGCTTCACAAATCGCCACGAGTTTTGCGATTACATAATGCGGGGAAATTAGGGTTTGAAAGAGGAAGCGCGATCCGTTATATGTTTGGGTGTCGCGGGGTATTTGGGATTAAATGACCCCGGGTTACTTGTTACCGCAAAACTATCGTTTGTGGGTTGCGTCATCGATACGACCAACCACTTTCGAGTGTATTCGGTCATTCATTGTGCTAGTTGACTGTTTATGCTGCCGATGTGTGCATCGTCACAGACAGAGCTAGATTGCCAACCGGGTTTGCTTTGGTCCAAACAATTTCCACTTGTAGAGGCAATAGTTCTAGATTGATCAGCTTGGAACATATGCAATTCAGCGCTGACTTCACCTTTTGATGCTCATCAAGCATGCAGCTTCCGCCCCCGCCACCCCGCTTGTGCGAGCGCCCG